TTCCAGGGTGTTTACGATATTATATTTTTTAACATCAATCATAGTTATAGTTAAAGTGCCAAAAGTGTCTATTTAAACGATATAAAAACAATTAAAAATTGGATTTATCATTAAAATACAAATGTAAATAATAGATGTGGTAAAGCTTGCATTAATTTAAAATATGTTTAAAAACAATCTAAATTTTTACCGATTGAAATATTGTGAGCCATACTTTCAACTATTATGGCACTCACTTCAAACATATCATTTATGTTGTCAATAAAATTTAATTTACGGCCACTTATTAAAGAAACAGTAAATATTGGTTCCGTTGTCTGTATAATATATACCGAATTATTTGCTCCGCGTTTAAAAGTGGCCATGTTAAGATCACCGACAAACATTCTTCTAGGCTTCTGATTATAACTACTAGCTTTAATGGAATAGAATATGTATTCGTATAAACCACTTCTGGTGCCATCAGAATATTGTATCTCATAGTCAGATATGTTTAACATAGCTGATGACGGATTCATAATTACCATGATATACAATATAGTAAATATATTTGATTTATAATCCATATTTAATTATAATTAATTTATTTTTAGGCAAATAGTTTAAACGATTCAAAACTTGAAAATGATATAAAATTAGTATAAAGTTATGGTTTTATAATTTTAAAATTTAAATTATTATACAGTATACATAAAAATAAGTTTTATACATAAGTATTTAATAAATCATTTGTAAATAATTTTAATAGTTTATTTTAAATATATTTCTTTCGAAATTATTAATTATATAATTACAAAGATAATATTAATGAGAAATAAAAAATATTTTAGCCTCTAACACAGTAGTGTCGGTAGAGTAAAACTTGCAAATTTCAGTGGAAACCACGTTATTTAATATAAATAAACATGGTGAATATAATTCGAACGAATGCATTGTGTTTATGATATGCAGATATTAAATGTAATTCATAAGTAATTTTTAATATTTTAAATATGCAATGAATAATATAATAAATAATTTAATTTATAACTAATTATGCGCATACATTCTTTTAGTAATTTTAATCCGTTAATAATTGTGATATAAATTTCTGATTTTTAACCACAATTCAGTATGAATAATGTGGTTTATAGGATCGTTCTGCCCCCTCCCCCTACCTTTATGGGAAATTGACATGGGATTACAGCATAAGTCTATGGCTATACTTTAACATGGGTAATGCTAAATTTATGGCAATGCTAATCCAAAAGGTAATGTAAAGTCTATGGCATACAGATAACATGGATAATGCTAAGTCAATGGCATAGGATTAACATGAGCATGTATGGTTAGAGGGATGGCGGGGCTAAAATTAATTAGACGTGGTTTTTGATTCATCAAGCTTATTAATCAGTTATTTTTCATTATAAACGTTACAATATTTGTAGCCATCGAGTACCCTAAAGCCCATGATTAATAATTACTCATATATATTTACAAATAATTTTCATATAAAAGTTCATTAATATTTAATTAATGTGTTTAAACCCCACTCATTATATTAGTATACTTTATATCTGAATGAATCTTGTATAGTGTATAAATTATAACACACTGTTTAATGCTGTGTACACTTGGGTGTACGAATTTGACTTACTTGAACATGAGTAATGATATGTCTATAAGTAATGATAAGTCAATGGCAATGATAAGTGAATGGGACAAATGCAGATCTTATGGAAATTGCTAAGTCTATTGGACTAATGCTATATAGTAGATTTCTATAAAATAACTGAATAAATATCAGCAATCATTTTAGAAAATTTTTAAAATACAAATAATACAATAAAATAACAATGAAAAATCTTGAAAAATAATATTCAATTAGCAATGCTTTAAAAATTAAAATTTCAAAATACAATTTTGAGCAATACCCCAATTGTAGTTAACGTATAGCATCGCTATGTGTGAGTTGTTTTTAATTATAATAATTTTAGAAATTTTTATCATAATATTTCTTACCATCAGGAGATCGCTAAGTAGGCTTAAAAAGCTAGACTGGCAACACTAGCTCCCATAGACAATACATTATAGCAATGCCCGCCAATGCCCAATTATGCACACTCAGAGATCCCCTGCTTACCATTATTCTATCAATTAAATGAATATATGATAAACTAATTTTTATTGTATGTATGTTTTTATTAAAGTATTTAGCAAACCTTAAAATAGTTTTTATTTAATCATTAATAAATTTAAGGGTAGAGGTGAATAGGCCTATCAAAGTAAAAACGATCCTAATCCTCAGCTAAATAAAAATAATTTCACTAAATTGTTAATTGTTTTTATTCAATAATACAACAATATTAATACAATTTACATGACAATTCTAATACATTTTAAATATGTAAATTCGTCTAATAATGCTTAAATACTTTCCAATAAAATACAGTTATTGTAAAAAAATAGAGTAATAACACAAATAGTTATCATTTCTATAGAAGTGAATGATTATCAAAATTGTGAGTTTAAACTTCATTAAGTTGCCGGATATCAGTGTATGTTTCAATACCAAACGTTCCTCGATAAAACCCATTTTGATAAACAATTATTGACTTATTATTTACTACCATGTCATTAGTGACTCCGTATTTGGCTAACAGTACAAATAATGTCAAACCATTTAACGGCATCGGTTTGGCAAATCTCGGATATCGGATATCACCTGTAAACGTATGTAAGGCTCGGAAATTTATTTGTAAATTGTCCATGGTTTTAATAAACGCGTCAACCGATACATTGGTAAAGGGTTTGACACGGATTGTTGATTTCAATGAAAACGATTGGCGTTTGGATTCAATATAGGAGCTGCCATTTGTCGATATGGATCGCAAACCTTCTATCCATTCGGTTTCGGTCTCTCTGTTAACGTGAGCCGTCCAGAATGAATACAAACTTTCTATTTTGTGATATCCCTCAGTTCCTGTAGTTTTTGTTGTATTAAAACTGTCGACACATTTTTCCGTATAAATCTCGGTTTTGGTCATCATTTCTGTGGTCCTTTCAATCGTTTCGCTTAATATAGTGTTTGCGTTATTTCTGATAATCTTTGTTAAAATTATATCTGTTTTCATATTCTTTTTAACAGCAATTTTTAACGGCTCCTGTTTTTTAACGTATTTATTTATTACATGATTTTATTCAAATCATTCAAACATTTATTCACAGACCGTGCTTGATGGAATCACGACGAGGTCGTTCAGCATAGATTTAATATCATACTTATTGTATGGTATCTCATCAATTTCTAAATGTACCAGTTTATCTAATGTAATAAATATAATGTACAAGATTTTATCAATAAAATATTCAAAGATTGATTTTAGAATAACGATACACAAGGTTTGCATGCAACGCAACACTTAAATAGAGCATGGAATAGGGTAGTTACAGTATATTTATATAAACTATATACTTAAACTAAAAATTTGTTTTTAAAATGTAATTATTTAATTTTGATGAAGTTATAAAATTTAATATAAAAATTATATTAAGATATCTTTTTAATATCTATTATTGACATTTTTTAGCATCGCGAGAACTAATAATTATTATCGTACAATTCTTTTTAAACAACTTGGTTTATTATTATATTATTATTAGATTTATTATTATTAAATAATATATTATTAATGATGATTACTTACAGCTATTATTTGTCAAATCCTTCATTGTAAAAGCATTTTCGTTTTTGTTGAATTTATAATCTAGGAAACATCCCCATAAAATTTTATCACCATTTGTTGTAATAATGTTGAACCAAATTTTTTCATGATCAATGATTTGAAAAGTGACCATGTTTGCGCTACCAGTCCAGTTACCTGATGCTATTCCTTTAATATTATAGAATAGATGTTCGTATATTCCGGTTCCCATATTATTAATATTTTGTATCTCAAAATCTGTTATGTTTATCATATTTACTGATGACATCACGGTTATAATTAAATAAAGAGCTGACACAATTGATTGACAATACATTTTCACAAATTTTAAGAATATTGTTGTTTAAAATTATATGTTTTATAGTATATTTTTTATAAATTCAAATCTATATATACCGAATATAAAAACACAAAAATAGTTTAAATATTTCATTTCTGATCATTCATTTTCTGTGAAATATGTTGTATTTTATGTTTATTTAGTAATTTCATGTGAAACAAAACATTTAATTTGTATTTCAGATGAAGTTATAATAATTAAAAATCACATACAAAAATCAATCAAAATACTATTTAGTGGACGAACGATACTATAAACGACATTCTTAGAATGAAATGTGGGTAAAGAATTATAGTTATTATTGATAATAAAATGTAATTCAAATAAAATTCAAAATATTTTTCCATAAAATGAATGCTCAGAAAATTATTTAAACAATTTTGTCAAGACATATCTAATAATTCGATTACTAAGTTAATCAATTGCAAATGAAAATGATTTATAATAATTAATATTTTTTATACAAACAACAAAACCAATTTTTATAAATTATTTTTAAAATTAAGTAACTTTATATTATTAAATCTATTATTTTTATATCTTTACAGAATTAGTATAGTATATTATATAAGTAAAGATTATTAATTATTTAAATATTATTTTATCGTCTATCACATGTTTAAGTAAAATTTTGTTATAAATTATAACTTATAATTATTAAACACGTTTAGTAATAAGTTAACTTTTATTAAATATAACATTAATATTATAAATCTTGATGCAACAAATATCATACATTATAATTTATATTATATTTATTACTATGATCAACCAAATGCATTTATTAAACATCATTTTATTTATTGGACTTATTATATGTAAGAAATATAATTAAAAATGTTACAAAATATATTTAAACAAATGTCAATTTTAGCGTTAAGTGTATGTATTGTTGGCTGTAATGAAAGTCATGCGAAAAATCATTTTTACTCTAATATAACGACTGCCGGCTGTGGATGTGGAAGGTATGCGAGGTTAGAGAATAACAAGTGCTTCAAATATATGGCTGAAGTGCATCCCTGGGCTGTATTTATTACAAACTTTATAAATGGGACGTAAGTATTGTAAAGTTATATTAAGAAAGTAAATATATTTTCCATAGATAACTTGTAGATAACTTGTCAAAATATATTTTGATCTTTTTCTCTCTCTTAGATGGGGTGCAATGAGTGGTGTAATACTGAACCAACGATGGATACTAACGTGTGCTCACAGTTTATAGTATGTATTATATTGTGTTAATCCATACATAATATAAAATACTCGATCCAAAGGAAAAATAGAAAACAGCGTTACATAGTAGGGGGCGGGTGGGCAGTGAAACTATAGAGGGGATAGAATGGGAGAGGGAATAGGTAACAGATTTAATGGCTGGTGGCTAGTATAATAGAAAATTAATATAATATTAATATAATGTTAATATAATATAAATTAAGTATGTTGACTAATTGTAAATTAACACAGTTGTGGCCCAAACTGTACGGCGACTGACATTCGTGTATATCCGGGGCTAAGGAACCAAAGATATACGAACCATACATACTATACGGGCGTTCAGTATTTCATTCATCCCAATTATGAGAGCTATCAATGGACACAATTTGATTTGGGATTAACTCGTGTCGACACTGATATACCATTGGACGGCACTTCGAGTTTGACGGGTATTAACGCTATTTGTTTGCCCAATAAAATGGCGATCAATAAAAAATCAGAGTACGCCCATTTGGTTGGACACGGAGTAGATAACAACACCGGATTGAGTTTGATTACAATACAAAAAGCCTACGCAAACAACACAATTGATCGAAATTACGCCATAATTGGACGACGAATACCATACAACTTGGGTTTAGACATTTGTACTGTAAGTATTTATTAATACTGTATACAAACAATTCACACACAGCGATGCTATACGTTAACCACAATTCGGGTAGTTTTCAAAGATTAGATTAACATAATTTACAGATTGACAAACGAGTCCATAAGATTAGAACTCCCCATAAACTTAACATTACCCATAGACTTAACATTACTCATAGGATTGGCATTGCCATAGACTTAAGCTATAATCGCATGTTAATTCCCCATAGACTCAAGAATCCCATGTTAAAGTATAGCCATTGACTTAAGATCAAGATCCTATAAACCACATTATTCATATCTAAATTGTAGTTACAAACTCAAATTACATATAGAAAACATTATGAGACTTAACATTGTATCATTTATTTGAATTCAATTGTAACCAGGTTGATTCCGGTTCACCAATAGTCCAATATGTGAATGGAGTGGCAGTGCTTATTGGGGTTGTTGTCAATGCATTGAGAGATCCGCGTAATTATTGTATGAATTTGAATGAAAAGACGGCGATAATAGCGGTTCGGGTCTCGTATCACATCCAATGGATAATCAATACTATCTATAATAACAATAATTAAGAAGATGTTTCAATTTTAAAAATCATTTTTATACAGCATTTATTATCAATATTTTGCAACCATTTAAAAATATATTATTCAAACGTAAAGATTTGCAAATATCAACTTTACTATAAAAATATAAAATAAATTTAATTATATTCTATTGTATTTCTGTAGCAAACACTTCAAATGTTATATTTTTTGTACTAATTCACATACATTTATTACACTTATACAATCTATTATGTTAAATAATATATCTAAATCTTAAGTATTAAATTTCTAGAAATGAAAGAGAGAGAGAGAGAGAGAGAGAGAGAGAGAGAGAGAGAGAGAAATATCATTGTAACATTTGAGATAAATATTTTTGTAATAAAATATTGAAATTAAAAAAAATAATATGTTATTAAATCTAAAATAATAAATAAAATTTTAAAGCGAAATCATTTCTTTTAATTTTTAAATACAATTTATATAATTTATTCACTGTATTAATAATTTAAAATAATCAAGCAAAATATTTTCATTAATTATGATTATATTTGTCGGTTTTTTAATACGTAAGAAATGTTTGCTATAATTAGACAAATATATAAATTACAATTAATGTTAATTTTAGTGTTAAGTCTATGTATTGATGGCTGTAATGTTTTGTAATTTACACAAAATAATTGCAATAAAAATTATCAAAAACACAATGATAATGACAATCGCAACTACTTCCAATATTGTAAATGATATTCTTGTTTCAACCGGTGGTGAATCTGTTTCAGTTGACTGCGATGTGTACAAACGCGTCACGGCAATTGTGGTCGTAGGTAACGCAGTAGTAGATGTATCAAGTTCAGTTATCTCAGTATATGTCTTTATACCGGCAGATACACTAAATATGCCATTTTCATCAACGATGATTGATTGATTATTTACTATTATGTTATTATTGTTGCCGTATATTCTAATCAACAAATATAACGCTAAACCATTCAACGGCACTATTAGTGGGCCATATCGTGGATCAGTTGCCGTGTATTTGCGGACAGCCCTGAATGGAATCTCCATATCTTTCATACAATTTATGTATCCTTTGAAAGATACACTGGAATACGGTTTGACATGTATTAGCGATTTTAACGTAAAAGACTGACGATTGGAAGTACTATTAGAGTTAGCGCTATTGTAGATAGATTTAAATGCTTTAATAACTTCTGACTCCTTGGTATATGATAATTGAAATGTTAACATTCTTTCAAACAAACCAAGGACGGCTTTTGTTGATATAGTTGATTTGTCTCGGGTAGTACTGCTGTCTTCAAAACTGTTTCCGATACGTATTTCGGCTTTAGTTGTCGTTTCTGTTGTTTTCTCAATTGATTCGAACAAATCTGTGTTCGCATTGTTTTTAATTATTCTTTCAAAAAACAAATCCGCTTTTAATGATTTATTGTAAGCATTTTTAAAGTCATCTTCCTATAAAAAGTAGATTATTATTAAATGTTAATAAATTAAGTATCAGTCTATGAGACAAATGTTAATTTTATGAACAATGTTGAGTTTATGAGACTAAAGCTAATTCTATGGATAATTTAGATTGTATAAGACTAGTGCATGTTAACTTTATAGACATAATGCTAAGTTTATGGCAAGTCTATTGTACTCATATTAAATTTATGGACTATGCTAATCTATTTCTTGAGCAATACCCGAATTGTGGTTAACGAATAGCATTGCTGTATGAACCTTGTTTTTTAATGAATTGTTGTTAAAAATTATAATATATATATATATATAAAAATAGTAACAAGGGCGTCGTAAAACTCAAATTTGTAAAATCAATACTTCACAGTATATATCATTTATATTTAACTTGTAAGATTCTTATATTTTATACTTTATATACATTACTTATATAGATATTTTATGAACTAACCGTTATGGTTGGATTAATAGCAAATTGATCCAGCGTATTTGCTATATAATACCCGTCAATTGGCATAAGTGTTATTTTTAGTTTTATATAATATTCTTTATTCCCTGTATAAATTAATAGCACAAATTATTATTTTTTTAAACAAAATACATCAAATACTCACATGAATTAAAGACGTTTCTTTTAATACTAATGACGAACGTATTTTTATTATCATTAGTTTTCAATTTACTGCCATTAATAAACATAATTGGGCATTGTGCGCCATTTATATTGGTAATGTATACTAGTTGTGGATAAAGATCTCTATTGATTTCAAAGCTCACCATGTGCCAAATATCCGACAATTGACCATTATCGCTTAAGTTGAACCATGAGAATTTTAATAGCCCTAAATCTTCAACAGAATAAAGAACGTGTTCATATACGCCACTACCGGACCCATCCCTGTATTTAATCTCGTAATTAGAGATAGGTAACATTGTTGATGACAGATTTATTTGTACCATCATATAAATCATTGACATAAGTTTATAATCCATTATAAATAAGATAAAATTGTTTTTAAAAGATTGACAAATATATTCTATATTTAGGACTATTAAACTTGGACTAGTATTAGCAAGTTAATGATTTATTAAATATTAAAATGAGTTCTAATTATTTGATATGTGTACAACAATTGATTAAATCATTCAAGGATTACTCATATAGTGATAAATATTTCTCATGTTAGTTTCAGTTTAAAAATTATTATTTGATGATTTGATATAAATGAGTTTAATTCATATTTTAAATATTTTATAAATATAAAGCAATAATACTATTTGGTCAAATGATAAATAAGTGCCTTAAGCGCCTTCCAATGTCACTAGAATTACTAAAATTAATCATCATTTATGTTAATTTTTTTAGGCAACAAAAACCAAGTTCCATAAAGATTGGTTGATTGGTCTGTATTCTGGAAATTTTTAAAATTGTGTCAGTTGAAATTATTTTGACAAATTTGCACCAAAATAATTGTTTAAAAATTAACATATTTTTATAGTGAATATATTTTCACAAAATACATGTTTGAAATGATTATTTGGTTATTGGGTTTTACTAATAGTGATTTGACAATAGTTTAGAGAAGATATCATAACTTTAACTATAAAGAGATTTAAATGCTAACTGATCAAATATGGGTTGCCAATCGGATTGAGTATCGATAATGGTATCGCTGTAGATAAATGTATATAATCATATCATATTTATTAGCCAACTCTGACCGGTGCCTGAACTGTGGCCACTTAATTATCGATAGTCGACCCGATTGGCGGCCAGTGTTCGTTGTGTTCGCATTTGATTCCCGTTATAATTAATGTTGTGATAACTGCTTTAAACTGTTGTCGAATAACTAATTGTAAACTCCAATAAACAAATAATAACTCCAAAAATATCTATTGTAAAACTATTTTCAACCTGACAAAATGTTTATTTTTGGTAAAATATTTTGCGCTAATTTTTAAAGAATAATTCCTACTGACATATTTTAATAATTTCCAGTATTATGACCAATCATCCGATTTTTATGAAACTTTGTTTTTGGTGCCTAGGAATGTTGACTTAAATTATAAAAATTAATATCTTTATCCTATCTACACTAGAAGTACGTAAGGATTAACATATATCAAAAATACTAATATTAATGTAATGTTTATATTTGTGTGTTTAAATTGATTTTATTGAAAGCAAAATATGATAATATTTCAAAGAATTCAAACAACTATTAACATTAAAATAATAATTTATTATTAATAAATGAAAATTATTTATATTAATTAATATATTCTATATAAAAACCACTTTATATAAATTATGTCAAACATTCAGTAACATTATATTATTATATCTATTATTATTATATCCATATCTTTACATAATTAGTACAATATATTATATAAATATTATTTTACCGCTTTTTCCATGTGTAATAAAGTTATGCTATAATTATTAAACATGTTTAGTAATACTTTTACATTTTTTAAATATAATATTAATACGTTTAGTAATAATTATATTTATATTTTAAATTAAATTTTGATGTAACAAATATAATACATTATAATTTAAATACTAATTTTAATACATTATATTTTATTACTATAATCAATCAAATGCATTTATTAAACATCATTTTATTTATTGGACTTATTATATGTAAGAAATACAATCAAAAATGTTATAAAATTTATTAAAACGAATACCAATTTTAGCGTTAAGTCTATGTATTGTTGGCTGTAATGAAAGTCATGCAAGAATTCAGAGCTACGAGAATATAACGACTACCGGCTGTGGATGCGGAAGGAATGCGAGGTTAGGTTACAACAAGTGTTTTAAATATATGACTGAAGTGCACCCCTGGGCTGTATTTATTACAAACTTCATAAATGGGACGTAAGTATTGTATATTAAGAAAGCAAACCAATTTTTAGATAACTTATCAAAATATATCTAATTTTGATCTCTCTCTCTCTCTCTCTCTCTCTCTCTCTCTCTCTCTCTTAGTTGGAATGGAATGAGTGGTGTAATACTGAACGAACGATGGATCTTAACGTGTGCTCACGGTTTATAGTATGTAAAAATTATATTGTGTTAATATATAGTATAATATTAATTAATTTATAACTCAGTTGTGGCGTAAATTGTACGTCAAATGACATTCGTGTATATTTGGGGTTAAGAAACCAAAGATATACAAACCATACCTACTATACGAGCGGTCAGTATTTCATTCATCCCATGTATGAGAGCTATCAATGGAAACCATTTGATTTGGGTTTAATTCGTGTCGACACTGATATACCATTGGACGGCACTTTCGGTTTGACGGGTAGTAACGCTATTTGTTTGCCCAATAAAATGGCGATCAATAAAAACACAGAATACGCCCAATTGGTTGGACACGGAATTGGAAACAACACCGGATTGGGTTTGATTACAATTCAAAAAGCTCACGACAACGACGCTCCTGGTCTAAATTACGTTATTAAAGGGCGGCGAATACCATACAACTTAGGTTCAGACATTTGCACCGTAAGTGAATATAAACACATATACTTTATATACACAAAATATTTAATATTGTAGCTATTATTTAATGGTAATCATTTTCAATTGTGACCAGGTTGATTCCGGTTCACCAATAGTTCAATATGTGAATGGAGTGGCAGTGCTTATTGGGGTTGTTGTCAATGCATTGAGAGATCCGCGTAATTATTGTATGAATTTGAGGGAAACGACGGCGATATTAGCGGTTCGGGTCTCGTATCACATCCAATGGATAACCAATACTATCTATAATAACAATAATTAAGCTGATGTTTCAATTGTATAAAAATCACTTACTTTTATACAGCATGTATTGTCGATATTCTACAATTGTTTAAAAATCATTTATTAAAATGTATATGGTAATATACCTGTGTTTTTGTAACGCCTGATTAAAATCTTTCCTCTGCTATTTTTAATCTAGTTGCATTAAAATTAATGCAAAAATAATTAATATTGCAAATAAAAATTTATTGTGTTTTTCTGCTTTTAAGTTTGTAACAATTTAATTTTAAATTAGAAAATGTATTTAATCTTTGTAATAAATACATTATATGTATTAACCGAAATCATTTTAGGCTTAGTAGGAAAAATTCTCTAAATAAATAACCGAATTCCGACGGGGTTGATATGGTCGTGTTCAGTACAATTAGTAGATGTATATTCTTGTCAAAACCTGCGAACGGCCACAAACATCGAAGTTATGGCCAAATTTTAAATCACTTGCAGAGGGCTTAATGCATCGAAAATTAACTTTTCACATGAGTCATGCAATTCACCAAATTTATAACGTTATAAAGCCTATGCAAGTGGTTTGAAATTTGGCCATACCTTCCGTAGTTGTGATCGTTCGCAGGTTTTGACTAAATAATATACATCTACTAATTGTACTGTACACGACCATAACAATCTAGTCGGAATTCGGTTATTTACATAGCGAATTTTTCCTACTTAGTAAGAAGAAGTAATGTTAAAACCCATGCAAATGAATTGGTTTTAACATTAGTCTTTATTACTAAAAAGTCTAAAATCATACCGGTTAATTCATAATATATTAAATTTATATACATTTATTTAAATATTTATCCATATTAATTTGTATTATTTTCAAATGTTATTTACTGATATGTTGTTTACTCAAATATAGTAAATTAACTTAATAAATACAGTGTAGTTGTGGAACAATTCATAATTATTATTTAAATTATATTAAATATAAATTACTACAAGAAATATCTGTATAATATTGTATGTAAAAATATAACAATTTCAAAATTATTTACAAACGTTTTTAAAACAATTTGTTTTTTTAATTGTTTTCCACTTTTCAAAACAATATCCAAATAGACGGCAAATATTTGGCTCTTTGGCCTTTGGTTTGGCACTAATGGCCAGCAATTGATTGTCGCCGTAATTGACAGCCGATTATNTAATGGCCAGCAATTGATTGTCGCCGTAATTGACAGCCGATTATGGCTTTGGTTTTGGCGTCAATTTGTCCGAAGGTTTTTGCGTAATAACAAAATTAGTTAACAGAATTCAAACCATAAATACTATTTCAATGCAAATTAATTAATAATTTATTAATTATTAATAATAAATTATACTACAAATAAATTGTTAACATCACAATATTAATCTACAATAAGTTATTGTCAATAACTATTTATTTACAATAATGAATATAACATTACAATTAGAAAAATATAATAAAATTAATAACAAGCACTTATATTATTATTTTAAATATTAATTAAAAACTCAGGATAGCTGTTCACCATGCTAAATTTTCCACAGTGTTGAAAAAGTTAATAATAATTTAGTGTATTTTTAAATTAATGTAAATCTAATTATAATTAGAGCAACCAAATAATGAGTCATTTAACATCATAGTAATATGCAGACTAAACAAAAACCATGAATTAGTAAAAAAAATCATAACATATAGTATTTAACTAATGCTTTAAAATGAACAAATAGTTGTAATAGTTATTATTGTGCTCAAAACTATGAAAAATGCTCCACAAATGCTCCAAAACGGTTGCTTTAATTATAATAAAAGTTTTAAATAATTATACAGTATTTCACGTTAAATAATATATATAAATATTAAGTTTCTAGAAATGAGAGAGAGAGAGAGAGAGAGCTTTTTATTGTAAAATTTGAGATAAATATTTTTGCAATAAAATATTGTAATTAAAAAAATTTAAAGTAATAAATAATATTTTAAAGCAAAATAAGTTCTCTTAATATTCTTCATATAAATTATATTATTTATTTAATATATTCACTGTATTAATAATTTAAATAATTAAGCAAAATATTTTTATTAATTATGATTACATTTGTTGGCTCTTTAATACGTAAGAAATGTTCGCAATAATTGGACAAATGTTTAAATTTAAATTAATGTTAATTTTAGTGTTAAGTGTATGTATTGTTGGCTGTAATGGAAGTCATGCGAGAATTCAGAGCTACTCTAATATAACGACTGCCGGCTGTGGAGTCGGCAGGAAATGGATGGTTAAAGACAACACATGCTTTCCATTCCATCCAAACACTAATACAATGTTTGCCGGCATTCAAAACGGACGGGTAGTTCAGAAGGGAGAGCAGCCGTGGACTGTGTTCATTGTGTTTAATAGTGGGTAAGTTATGCTTTATAGGTTGTCCCGTATGATTCATAATAAAACTAGTGTAATAATAAACAATTAGGGTGACCAAAAATTTTAAGGGAATTGGAGGAAATTGACTCAAAATTTAGTTCTAGCGGAGGACACATTATTTTTTGTATTAATTGGTGGGTTCGTATCTCACATTATATTATGGGTTTGAAATGTGTTCAAAATCGACAAAAATAGCAAATTTAGGCATAATTTAGATGAAGCCAAACTTAATTTAAAATATATAAAATACTTGTTTTAATCGAGGTGGTGTAATTATATACGGCAGGTAACAGATTATTAGCGGAATATCAAAAATATACATATATGAATATTACTCACTATTTAGTAAGAATAGTAAGTTGTCATGTGTTTGGACTCATTGAATTGAATTGAATTTATTTTAATTTAAAGACACCACGCACTTAACTGTTGTTGATTTTTAGTGCAGACGTCAATTTATACCATTTGTATTACTAGATACTGCAATTACTGGTGTGCGTACTAATAGTGCTATAAATATATATGTGATTATATATGTGATTGATTTTTTAATCGTTATTAGAGGTCACTAATATATACAGTATACTGTAAGTTAAAGTTGATTAATACTATATATTTGATTAAAATATGAAAAGTCTTATAAATATAATCATATATGTAAGAAAAACTAAAACATATTATGTATAAAAATTATATTTTCATATCCAAAGCCGTAACGGATGACAAAATATAATCCTCCGTAAGGTCTACGGAGGACGGTGTCAAAAATGGTTTATTGGAGGACAGTCCTTCGTAACGGAGGACGTCTGGTCACCCTATAAACAATGTTTAACAGAGAATATTTGTTTTACCACAATTCTATTAACTTACTTAATTAGAATATTATGCCATTTTTAATCACAATTGAGTATATATAAAGTGGTTTATAGGATCGTTCGCCCCCCTTCCTTAGCCCTCTGCTCTATGGGATTTAACATGGAATTACAGCTTAAGTTTATGGCTATACTTTAACATGAAATTCTTGAGTCTATGATGAATTAACATGTGATTACAGCTTAAGTCTATGGCTATATTTTAACATGGACAATGCTAAGTCCATGGCATAGGAATAACATGGGTAATGCTAAGTCTATAAATAAGAATAACATAGGTAATGCTAAATCTATGGAATAGAAATAACATTTCTAGTTTAATGGTATATCAATGAGACAATACGATTATAAATGCCATAATAAATAGAATTAATTGTTATCAAAAACATATAAAATTCTCAAAATAATAATAGTGAAAGTATTCTAACAAACGTATTGAAAAATTTATAACCATTGATGCATTTCCCGAATTGTGGTTAACGTATAGCATCGCTGTGTAATTTTTGTTTGTTTTAGAGATTATTATTTTAAAACACTTAAACCAAAAGATTTATATATAAAGATGTGCCAAAATTTAATAATATTTATCCATACAATACAATTTAATATATTAATATTCTCTCTCTCTCTCTCTCTCTCTCTTTCTCTCTCTCT